ATGTTCTTTGCCACCCTATTTCAAGTATTAGAAAATAGACTTTAAAATAGGACAAAATTTGGCTGCTATGCATTATTTTTTTCCTTTGGGGCAGTATTACAGGCTTCACATTTGTTTATATTTAATTATTTATATGCACTGTTTTTTTCAGAGGATGACTTTAGCAACTTTAGCCACTGGGTGGCGCAAATTCATAAGAGTCTGGTGAAAGTTCTTGTACTACAGACGGAGGTGCACCAAGTAAGGGAGGGTCAGCCTGTGAAAAGCCTTCTGGAGATTGAAATTTATGTCCTATAGACATGGATTCAAGGAGTGCAGATTAAGAGACATTTTTTGTATTGGATCACTGGCAAGTCGGGTTAGTGAAAACGGGAAAGAAAAAGAAGGAAAGGAAAAAGAAAAGTGTTGGAAAAAGAAAAGCATTGGAATAAGGAGAAGGAAGAGAAAGATGAAGAGACAAAGAAACATGAGAGAAAAGAATGTCTAGAGAGGTGAATTCAAGTGTTACCAACAATTGCAGGTTGGGCCCTCATTGGTTTGCATGCACCCGGTAACCAATAGCAACTTTGATGTAAAAGTAAAGGTTACCTCATTTTCTTCTAGAAAGTCAGTTATGCTACCCTCAGCTATCCATTTAGTGGTGTGACATCGTCAATAATTTCTTTGAATGTCTACTATGAGCATGGTGCTTTGTTGAATACAAAGTAATGTAGAGAAATAAAAGTTAACGCAGACGGGACAGGCTTCAAGCAGAAGAACTAGGAAGTATACATAAAAAGAGCAACTTGAGGCAGCATGAGGGCCAGGTGTGAACCCTGGGAAAGGAATCCTTTCTGAGAATGCAGGGGAAGAGTGGAGGCAGGAGGGGAGGATCAGAGTGTAAGGGGAGGAAGGCCCGTAAGACCATCAACCTGAACAGGGCAAAACAAAGAAGGGCTCCTGACTGCTAGTCCTAAGTACACATAGCAACTCTTCCTTGGAAAATGGAAAATTGGGACATAATGTAGGAAAAGGGCTCTAGGTCAGAATCTACTGGACTGTGCTTAAAGGGTCTCCAAAATAAGAGGGAGGGAGGGGTGGGGAGAAAAACGTGTAGGGCTAGAACCACCTTAGGTCCCTCTCTGGTTAGTAACCCCTTCCACTAGCCTGGGTGTGCAGAGAAAGAGGGATGCTGGCAGCCTGCTCAGGCCTGTCAGAGACCCAGAGAGGCCTAGGTCACTTTGATTTTTTTTTAAAATTTTATTTATTTATTTTTGGCTGTGTTGGGTCTTCGTTGCTGCACACGGGCTTTTTCTAGTTGCGGCGAGCAGGAGCTACTCTTCGTTGTGGTGCGCAGGCTTCTCACTGCGATGCTTCTCTTGTTGCGGAGCACGGGCTCTAGGCACATGGGCTCAGTAGTTGTGGCTCGCAGGCTTAGTTGCTCCACGGCATGTGGGATCTTCCCAGACCAGGGCTCGAACCCGTGTCCCCTGCATTGGCAGGTGGATTCCTAACCACTGCGCCACCAGGGAAGCCCAGTCACTTTGATTGTTGAAATCACAGGTAGATCTTAAAAAATGAAGAAATGGCAAAACGGAAATATAAAATTGTGTATTTTAAGTGCTTCCTTTGAATAAAGTCATGCTTTTAACACATGCACAAATACAGCTATTTACTGAATGTCATTCTGCAATACCATGAGAAGTTTAAATTGCAGGTGTCTGTGAATGTGCTTTCTCTGCCCTAAGCAGCTACCTCCTTTAATCTTTGGGCCTATCAAAAAGTACTGGGGTGACTCAGACTCTTACAAAAGGTAGAATGACTTTCAGTCCTCTCCAGCCTAAGACTTGAAAAAAAATACTTCATACTTGTGCTAACTGGAAATATGGTAGTAATATATTAGCCAAAAGAGGGAGACAGGTTTAAAATGGTATGAAGAGTATGGTGGTGTTTGTGTAACATATGTATCTTTTTTATGTATATGTGTATATTTTATAATCTGTAAAGAGATGCATCAAAGTGTTAGTAGTGGTTATCTCTGGGAAGAAGGATTAGCTATAATTTTTTTCTTTTATTCTTTTTACTTTGCAGTATTTTCTAAACATTTTGATAATGAGGATGTACTTTAATAATCAGAAACACAATGTGTGGTAACTTAATGAGAAAGAATTTGCAGTTAAAAACCTTGCTGACTAGTCACTTCCCAGAGGAATAATTGGCTCCCCATAGAAATGGCGTTTTATCAAGTTGAGTCTATAGTGATGACAGGGAGTATTGTGCCCTGCTGTGAAGTGATCTGCAGAGAACGGACTTGAGGACACGAGGCGGGGCAAGCTGGGACACAGTGAGAGAGTAGCATTGTCATATATACACTACCAAATGTAAAATGGGTGGCTAGTGGGAAGCTGCTGCATAGCACAGGAAGATCAGCTCAATGCTTTGTGATGACCTAGAGGGGTGGGATAGGGAGGGTGGGAGGGAGGCTCAGGAGGGAGGGGATATGGGGATATATGTATACATGTAGCTGATTCACTTTGTTGTACAGCAGAAACTAACAGCATTGTAAAGCATTTATACTCCAATAAAGATGAATGAATGAATAAATAAATAAATAAATAAATACAGAGGATGCCTATAGGGGAAAAAAGAATAAAGGTCACTTCCCAAGGTCCACGTGGGAGTTCACCCTTCTCTTCCGCTCTCTCTCTTATCTTTTAGTTTTCAAAGATCTCCACTGGTAAGAGAATACGATATTCAAAATTGTTAACTGATTAGGGAGTCAGAAAATCCTCAACGGGACCTTGCTTTGGCTGGGGAAACAAGTCCCCAAAGCAAAATAAACAATTTCCATTCCATTGGTGAATCTCTATAAAGAAAAGTCACTGTACATGTTACCCAAATTATATTCTTGCAGTAGACCTAATGAGTGTAGACTCTGCCACAGGTTTTATCTCCTGTTTCTGGGTTAAAGGAAATGACATTCTCTGGTGGATAAAGCCTGGGAAGGTGGGGATGAATGTAGGTATCAGTCCTAGACCAAGAGCTTTAAGTATGGAATGTTTTTAATCATCCTCCCTAGTGGTCTTGAGAAGGAGTGGGGTTTTTCCCCCTATTTCATGGTTAGACTGAGCCACAGATGGCAGGACAAACTGGAGGTGATGCTGTGAATCAGTAGAGGGTGATACTCATTTATTCAAATGCCAGCCTCAGTGGTCTTTCCTCTCCACCTAACATATTTTCAAAGCGTGCTCTGTGGAACTTTAGGGCACCTAGAGGATCTCTAGGGCTTCCTTGAAAACTGTCATCATCCATGCTTGGTTCCATCTCTTCTAGGGTCAGCTTGAATATCAAATCAGGGCTTAAGGCTAGATGTTGTACCTTTTTGGACAGTACTTAAAGTGAAAGAAAGGAGGATATGATTTTTATATGTTGTTGTTGTTACCAGAGAATTAAGAAAACAATTACTTAGGAATAGGCACATTTCACCAAAATGAAATGGAATGGTTTCAGATGCATGAAAAGAATCAGGACAACACCCTTTGTATCCCTCATGCCAGTCCCTTTTTCACTGAAGCTCTATTTTAAGGTCAGCTGTTTCATGCCACCATCATAATAAAAACATTTCCAAAATGCAGTTTTTAGAACATAGGTTTGAGTAGTAATTTTGAATTTGTAAGATTAGTTGGGGACTTCCCTGGTGGCGCAGTGGTTAAGAATGCGCCTTCCAATGCAGGAAACATGGGTTCAAGCCCTGGTCTGGAAAGATCCCACATGCCACGGAGCAACTAAGCCCGTGCGCCACAGCTACCGAGCCTGCACACTAGAGCCCACGAGCCACAACTACTGAGCCCACGTGCCTAGAGCCCATGCTCTGCAACGAGAAGCCACCATGGTGAGACGCCTGTGCACCGCAATGAAGACCCAATGCAGCCAAATATAAAAAATAAATAATTAATTAATTAAAAATAAAGATTAGTTGTTGCAAAAATTCATTGTTAGGTAATACTCAATTAGCTTAACATTGAAAGTATTGATATATTAGTTGACAGTTTTTTACTTAACATGTTTAGAAAATTTCACAAGTAAGACAATTTATAATGGTAAAACAAGTAGAATATTCTTTGATACACAAAATAGATTGTAGATGTCTCGTTTCATTGTCAAAAGTCATATGCATTGTAATCCATAGTTTTGAGTTTTATGAAAAATTACAATGTATAAATAAAAATCTAATTTCATAATAAATTCTATAAACTGAGCCTTTCTTAAACTCTCTCTTAGCTGAGGTAAGGGAAAGGAAGAAACCACAGCTAAGAAATACAGTAAAATATTGCATTGAGTATTAAAATAAAAACCAGCTGTTTCACTTTCTCACCAAACTCATTTAAGTCAGTCAGACTTATAGCCATGCCTCTGTGAGAAAGAGCACATAATCATGTTGCTCTGGAATCCTCGTTCAGAATGTCTGCAGCTCACTGTGATGGTAAGGTATAATGTCAGACCAACTTTAGGAATTCTGGATTATCAGCAGACCTTGTCTGGATCCTATTTGATTTTGTTTGTGTGCTCTTGTCTTTTGGCTGCGGTGCACAGCTTGCAGGATCTCAGTTCCCTGACCAGGGATTGAACCCAGGCCACAGCAGTGAAAGTGCCGAGTCCTAACTACTAGACCACCAGGGAATTCCCAGTCTGGATCCTATTTGTACGCAGTCCCTAAGTGCTTTGGGGATGAGTCACGAGGAGGACTTTTGGAACGCTTAGGGTCACGTTCCCTTTCCCAGTGTGTGGAGGGCTGCATGTAGTGGCAGAGGCTAAGTCATAAAGCCCTATGAATGCCAGCCTGGGAAAACAGGAGCCCCACCCTCAGCTGGCTGAGAGCCAGTGCGCGTGAGGTCAGCAGAGAGGACAATCGAGGACTTGGTGAATGTGCAACACCAAGGGCTGCTTTGCTCAGTTCCTTGGAGGCTGTGTTTAAACCTTTTGTCAAAGAGAGTAATGGGTCCATTCATAGTGCTCAGAGGGAAGACTTTTTGTTTTCATTTGATGGGGTGAAAAAAAAATCCATTTTTTGTGGGATTACCAAGTGAATTTCAGAGGCTTGTGGCTAAGTCAGTAGCAAAGGCATGAGAGTAACTCTGGAGCCCAGGCTTCCCCCTCATTGGCCTGGCATTACTGTCTGATCGTAATGTCCCTGCTGAAGATACGAGGGTAAGATTAGCAAGAATCTGCCCATACTGATTAATAGTAGGGAGAAGACAGTGTAGTATCTTTCATTCAGTGTGTGAGGCAGAGCAGAACTTTTCAGAAGTATGTCTCATGGACCACAGTGATCTCTGCAGCTTTCTTGGGGCTTGATGATTTGGGAGCATCTTGTCCAACCTAGAGATTGAAAGGAAATATGAAAGATAAAGAAGGATGCAAATGGGTATTTCTTAATGTACCAACAAAGAGATAGCTTAGTACTAAACCCTGTGTAACTCCAAGTGCACATCATTTCGCCTTTGTTACCCATCAATTCTAGGAAAAGTTATTGTGCTTTACACTGCGAAAGTATCAGCAAAGTGCACTTATGTATGAGAACCTACAGTTTGTTGAAACCAATAACCTAATAAACAGCCCCGCCACCCCTTGTTTGACCGATTTGCCTTGAATGGAAAGGGCCCTGGATGTGCAGCTACTTTGGATCCCAGATGCACAGGGATTCGACTTCATTCCTGGAATCAGGCCCAAACAATCTCACTCTGTTTGAGAAGGGGCAAAGATCTGGGTCAATGTGGACCAAATATTTTTTACTAATCCCATTCCACTCTCATTATACCATGCCCCATCTGATTTTGTATGTACTTTCTAAATGCTTAACTGTTATGAACATAGACTCTAAGCCTCTTGAAGGCAGGGAACTTGGCACATAGAAGGCTTTCAGTAAAATTTTGTGGAAGAGATGAATATGCCAATAAATCCAGTAAAGGAATTAAAAGACCTGAATTTTAGTTCTGTTTCCACTAGATGTGTGACTGTGGGAAAGTCAATAACCTTTCTAAGCCTTAGTTTAAGTATCAGTAAGATGTAGATACCTGCCCTAGCTACTTCCCAGGATTTTTATGAGACTCAAATGAGGCAGTGTGTATAAAATTTCTTTTTAAAAATTAATTCCTTTATCATTTAGTATCTTATTTTGTTCATGGGAGAAATTCAATCAGAGTTGCTGTTACGTGGCTTCTTCTAATTCTGGACTAGACTTTTTAGTCTCCTTCAGGCCTATTTCTTTCAATGTTCAGTAGAAATGATAATGTTGATTGGATTAAAGAACTAAAAATACACTAAATTATAGAATTATACTGATTTACCTGGGCTCATCATCTAACATTAGCAGAAACAGGATTATAGAAAATATTAACCTAGACCAGAGATGACAAATAAGTTGGCATTAGATACCTAAAGCACTGTGATAAAAAAGATTGATGCCATGCCTGGGTGGAAAGAGTGCCATGCTTGATTTTTTTTTTTTTTTTAATATTTATTTATTTATTTATTTTTGGCTGTGTTGGGTCTTCATTTCTGTGTGAGGGTTTTCTCTAGTTGTGGCAAGCGGGGGCCACTCTTCATCACGGTGTGCGGGCCTCTCACTATCACGGCCTCTCTTGTTGCGGAGCACAGGCTCCAGACACACAGGCTCAGTAGTTGTGCCTCATGGGCCTAGTTGCTCTGCGGCATGTGGGATCTTCCCATACCAGGGCTCGAACCCGTGTCCCTTGCATTGGCAGGCAGATTCTCAACGACTGCGCCACCAGGGAAGCCCCATGCTTGATTTTTTTTAATTGAGATTTAATTTTCATATAACATTTTGTAAGTTTAAGGTGTCCAGCGTGTTGATTTAATGCATTTGTAAATTGCAGTGTGATTACCACGGTAGCTTTAGCTAACATCCCATCACGTCACATAATTATCATTGCTTTTTTGTGGTGAGAATGTATAAGATCTAGTCTCTTAGCAGTTTTGAAGTATACAATATGGTGACTATAATCTCTATGCTGTGCATTAGACCTCTGGAATGTATTCATCTTCTAGTTGCACTATGCTTGATTATTATTATCATTATTATTTTTTGGCTGCATTGGGTCTTCGTTGCTGCACACGGGCTCTCTCTAGTTGCAGTGAATGGGGGCTACTCTTAGTTGCGGTGCGCGGGCTTCTCATTGTGGTGGCTTCTCTTGTTGTGGAGCATGGCTCTAAGTGCATAGGCTTCAGGAGTTGCAGCACATGGGCTCAGTAGTTGTGGCTCACGGGCTCTAGGGCGCAGGCTCAGTAGTTGTGGCGCACAGGCTTAGTTGCTCCGCGGCATGTGGGATCTTCCAAGACCAGGGATTGAACCCATGTCCCCTCCATTGGCAGGCGGATTCTTAACCACTGCGCCACCAGGGAAGTCCTCTGCTTGATTATTGTTATGTGCGGTTGACATGGAACTAAAGAGTGTGTCCCATCCTGGACTATATAATCTTTGAGACCCATTCTCAGTGCTGTAATTCTACAAAAGTGGCCACCTGCTTTAATTTAAAAAAGTATTGGAGACCTCATCTCTTTGCTTCAGTGGGTTTTTAGTTGTAGAGAAGGCACCCATCACTTTCTTGTAGTCAAAGGCCGAGTCCATTCCTGGTGGGAAAACTATTTAAAGCAGCCATGCTGAGCCGGTGGTGTGGTGTCTGACTTACACACTAAAGTGCAATATGGATTTATAATCCTGCCAGGAAACCCCAGGGCAGGGAAGAAAGAAGGTGCTTTGCCAGGTGTTCAGGCTGTGTTCAAGTGTGGTGGTTCCTGAACTGTGTTGTATGTCAGAGTTACCCAGGGGCAGGGATGGAGATGTAGGTTGTGGGCTCTGAAGCTCTTACAATTTCAGGGACCCTTTTTAAAGAAAAAGAATACAGATTTTAAAAATACAAAATTGGATTCAAAGCCTTTGTGCAGGTGTTGTGGGTCCTGAGTTTAAGCTTCATTAATTTCACAGTAAAACCACTTCTACTTAGGGAGCTTGTTAAAAATCTAAAAAAAAAAGAGAGAGACTTCTCTGGTGGTCCAGTGAAAAAAAATCTTAAAAATAAGATTCCTGGTCCCACTCTAGCCATTCTGATTTATTATATCTGATGCCCAGAAATAGCTATTTTCAGTAAGTACCCTATTGTATTATGACCCTGCAGATGTTAAGAAAACAGTAGTACAAATACCTGCCCATTTCCTGACACATAAAAGAATTACCTACATTTGCTGCATAATTAAAGCAGCTTCCTGTCTCCCAGGATTTATATATTAACCCCATTTTCTCTAGGCAAATGACAATAGCCATACAGAGAAGACTTTCCTTTTTGGGCTGAGAGTCAGTCTGGGATTCAGCTACACCAGGTTGCTGGCCTTCCTTTCTTTGCCTTCTCCACAACCTCTGGCATTGGCATAGCTCTCTGGCTCCTAGGCATTGACTCTGAAGGGAGAAACTGACCTGGTATTAACTTCAGGTGGCTGCTGTGCATCTGATTACCTTCCAAACCTCACATCAGGCCATTTAAAGAAAATCATCTCTCTTGTTTTTTCTGGCTGTGCCACACGGCTCATGGGATCTTAGTTCCCCAGCCAGGGATCGAACCCGGGCCTGGCAGTGAAAGCATGGAGTCCTAAGCACTGGACCTCCAGGGAATTCCTGAAAATCATCTCTTCTAAGGAAAAAGAAAATATACATTCCTATTGGCTCTATCCTCCCTAGAGAATGTACAAGTACAGCAGAGGAAAGGAACTTGCATTTAGCAAGCACCTCTACGTGCCAGGAGCCTTTCTCACAGAATCTCCATTAAACTTCATAACCACCATGAGAGGCAAATATCATTAGTCCCATTTTAAAGATGAGGCAGCTGCAGTTGGAGAAGGCAAACAACTTTCTCAAAGCCACTCAGCTAGTGAGTGTAGAGTGGCAGGTGTGTCCAAACTCCAAAGTCTGTGCTTTTCTCATTATGCCAGCCTGCCTCTGGGACAGAAGGAGGTCTTTACAGATCAAGCCCAAGGACCCAGTACATCAGCAAACTTACAGGGCATGGGACTTCAAAAATGATGAACACTATAAAGGCAATTCCCCTGAACAACAAGGTGACTGCAATCAGAAATTTGACCATGATGCTCCATTTCTGCCTCTTCTCTAGGTCCTCATCTGTGTCTAAAAAGAGAGGGAGGAATAGAAAAGGGAGAAAAGAGAACTTCAGAGAAGGAAAAGATTGACCTTTTGACTTGAAGGCCTCCTGGCTCACAAGACGAATAGGGGCCCAGCCTGATTCAGAGACAGAGGCTGAATTTCCAGTTCAGAGCCAGGAGTGGAGTAGGCATCATGGGCTCTGCTCTAACCTCCTTTGCAGTCTCTTCCCAGAGTCACCTTTACTAGGATTTGGAATTTTTCCATGATCAAGTAGGATTGATTCTTGCACTGCTTTCATGGAAGGAAAAGTTACGCAAGGGAGTCTGTCACCAGCAGCCCTCTCAGGGTCTCTGTCCTTGTGCCTCGACACACATACTGTATGGGATTAGCAAATCACATTTCCTGTGGTCTTCTCAATTTAGTGGGGCATATGAGGAACAGAGGTAAATTGCCATTGTTTTTGGGTCATAAGCCAAATTTGGGGACAAATGGCTCATATGCATCTTGTTATTACTAATCTCATATTTACATTTCTCCTCTTGGAACTGGGATGTAACCCAAACTGAAATCTTACAGAATTTGAGTCCTGGCCAATTTAGGGAGGGCTCTTTGTAAAAACAATGCAGATGAAAACATGCTTCTTGGTTGTTGTCATCACTGTAACGAGTGCTTAGAGTTTAAATGTCACCTCTCTATTCACACGATGGCTGGAATTACCCACCACACCAATACCCTTTATGCTGTCCCCGAATCTGGCTACAAGGTGAGCTCAACTTGTGTGGAGGTGAAGGATTATTAATAGTGTCAAGCTACAAACATTTCTGGGACCTTCTTTATAGAGAAGCTGATTTTTTTTCCATAAGAAATGGAGTGATTTTCTAATGCAAACTGTGCAACTTCTCAACCTCCAGGAAAATCCTAGGAGACCCAGGCAGGTGTTGGGACTGAAAATGTTTCTTTTTCTTTCCGTTCTTGTCTTACCTCTACTTATTCTGTACCTTGTTTCAGAGGACTAGAAAAATCATCAATCCTTGTAGTTTTCTCTCCTTTTTTCCCAGGAGTTACGAAGGTGGTAGTGGTGGGAAAAGTCTCTGATGAAGCCCCCATCACTGGGTAGACCTTACACTGGGAGATCCCTGGTAAAAAAGCTATAAAACAAGAAAGAAACAATGAAAGGACAACTGAGAAAACTTTATCCTGCCTTTGATTTTACCTGACAGAACCCTAGCTCTACCCAGCTGATGTGAACTTCTAACTGTGGCCCCATCGATCTGTCCATAGGTTTAAAGTGTGGGCCTTAATAATGCCAAAGAATAAATGAGGATAGAGATACTAATAAGATATGGATTAAATTCGCATGGCGCCTTTGACTAATGTATGTTCAGAGTGAAGGAGTATGGCCATACTCATAAGGGCATAATGATAATAAGGATGGAGGGTGTAGCACCATTGAAAGTTTCCTTCTTTAAAGAAGATGGCTCCAAAGTCCAAGGAAGAACATGAAGTAGCATAATTTGCCTTAATGACTGCGGCAGGTGTGTCTAGTGGAGTCTAAGTCAACGACTTTGAGAGAGGTTTGGGGAAAGGGGGAGCTGGAAGAAGGGGAGACCTCCCAGCTTCATGTACCCCTCAATTTCATTCTTTCAGCAAATATTTAAAAATTATCTAGCATGTGCCAGGGACTGCTTCTGTACTTCGGATATATCAGCTGGGTACCTTCTACCATGGGAACAAGCAAGGGGGAAGGAGGGCTGAGGGGGACTCGGGGAAGCAGACAATAAGTACAGTAAGTTTTATGGTTTGTTAGAAGGGGATAAGTGCTACGAAAAGAAACAAAGTAGAGAAAGGTAAGGGGGCAGTCGGAGGGGTGCGGGTGGGCAGTGGTTGGGCGACCTACAGGATAGGCTGGTTTCATTGAGAAGATGAGAATTGAGCTGAGACTTGAAGGAGATGAGGGGATTAGCCAAGCAGATGCTGGGGAACTAGGCAGAGGGAACAGTGTAAAAGCCCTGGGGCAGAGTGTGTCTGGCATGTTTTAGTTTTAGAGGAAGAGCACAGAGGCCAGAGAGATTTCAGTGGAGTGAGCAAGGCGACAGTCATAGGAGATGAGGGAGTTTCTGAAGGAAATGGGTCCATATCACTTAGGGCCTTGTAGGCCAGTTTGAGGACTTTGGTTTTTGTTCTGCTTGAAGTGGGGATCCGTTGCAAGTTTTTGTGCAGAGAAGTGACCGGATGGCTTTGTTTTTAAAGGATCAGTGGGTTGCTGAGTTGGAAACAGACTGTAGGGGGGGGGCCTGGGAGAAGCAGAGTAACCTGTTAGGAGGCTCTCGCGGAATCCAAATGAGAAAAGATGGTGACTCAAACAGCTGTGGAAAAGATGGGGTGCGGATGGATGCTGGCTGTGGTCTGGAACCACCTTCACGTGCCTCCCAAATTGATCTAATCCAGTTCCGACAGTGGTTCCTATTCTATTTTTAATGGCCTCCTGTCATTGCTTATTAAATTGAGATCTGTACGTCCTACTTGACTTTTCTGAATTATTCTCCCAGGTCTTAAGTCCGTGTGAAAATGACAGTTCTTTACTTCAGAGGCCAGTGGGCAGAGTACCAGGGACTGTACACAAATTATAGGGGAAGTAGTCCTTGATTTGTTTAATCAGGAAGACAGTGTTGGCAAAGATAAGCAGAGACAAAGCGCCAACAGGCTCAAAAGGAAAAACAAGAGAATTATGTGGCATTTTTTTCAGCATAGTGCCAGTCAGTTCTCTGAAGTGACAGCATATGTGTTTCTGGGTCAGATGAGATGAAGATAAATAAATCTCACTTTGGAAAAGTAACATATAAGTTCTCTGAGTTTTGGTTTCCTTATCTGCAGGATGGTTATAATAAAATCATTCTTGGTCTACCTCTTTCACAGGAGTGATGTGAAGATCGGAAACAAAAATGAGAAAGCAGGTGTGAAAAACACTTTGCAAACTGAGTGATATTATGATTGAAAGAGGAGACAAAACCTAGAGATCCTGTCTCTGCATAGAAGAACTGTGCCCTCTAGCCACAGGGATAATGGGATTTCAGTGTGGCATGTCTTCCCACCTCCTGGGAGCCACTCTTTCAAAATCTACTTAATAGGCTTTTCATCTGTCAGTGTAGTTCCAGTTCTGCCCAGCTTCTAAATTAATGTCCATCCCTGTTGGCAGCTCATCTCTTAGGTCTCATCTGCTAGGTAACTGAGTATTAAGGTAGAGCAAGTTTGTAAATACAAGCAGTCTATTCCCAGTGCTGATGGAATTGCAATATTAGCTTTTCTTTGGCTAAGAATATTTGAGCAAGAATTCCCCCACTTTAAGGAGGTCTACAAAAAATGCAAAGTTATGAAATGGATAATTTAGGAGATGATGCTTTATTACAAAATAATTCATTTTAAATAGGGAACATTAGGTACATTAAGTGGAAATCTCCTTTAGAGATTATTCTGTAATAATACTAGCAGGTTGAAAGGGCTATTTGAGAGGCCTTACATATTGATGTTGGGCTTACATATCTAGAAATTAGATCATCTTGTCAAATCTCTCGTCTGTAGCTATGGAAACTGAGCATTGGAGAAATAAACACTTGTTTGATGTTATTTCTCTTGTATGCCACAGTTTCTCATGGGGTAAACAGACCATAGGAATCAGTTCATACTAATCAAATTCCAAAGAGCCTAATCCATGCACTAAAATGACATTTTAAAAATTTACATAGATTTGCCTAAAGAGAGAGAGGCTAATCCATTTCCTTGAGGCTTTAGCTGCTATTAAGCTCTATCTGCCTCCAAGGACGTCAGCCAGAAGGCAGCACCTACCTCCATCTCATTTTCCAATCTCACCTTTGCCTGTCACAAGGGATCCAATCTGAACCTTGGATGTGAGGGTTAGGTGACAGCTTGGTGGGGGGCAGTGCTGTTTCTGCGGGGAACAGCATGACTCTCAGGTTCTTCAGAGTGTGCTTGACCTTTCGCCTTTTTTCCAAATATACAAGGTTGACTTACACTTTGCTCCTAGAACCAAGACACTGCAAGGTAGCCACAGTCTGATTTAGGATGAATGTGGGCCATTTGGCTTCTCTCTGAGCTTCTGGAAGGAGAAAAGCCAGGTAGGAAAATGAAGCCAGTTCTTAATCTGAATGGTGCCCAGCCAGCCCACTTCCATTCATGGCCCACTGCTGTACTTTCTTCTCTTTTTCCTTCAGTTCTTCCTCGGCATGTATCTATGGTACTAAATATACAAGCCCTGCCTTTCCCCCTTCCTGCCATGGGTCCCATGAAGATTGGTGACTGCAGTAAATGCAGCCCAGAGAGATGCTCCTAGGTTGTTTTTTCTAACGCAGAGCCGCTTGAGTGCGGCCTCCTTCTCTTGCCTCACCCCGTCTCTTTGATTTATGCAGCCACGGCTTAGGTAACAACAGTTAATTAATTAATTTATTTATATTGTATAAGTGAACATTTTATTTTTTAATTTATTTTTTGTTACATGTATCTATTCTTTTTCAAATTATTTTCCCAATTAGATTGTTACAGAATACTGAGCAGAGTTCCCTGTGCTATACAGTAGGTCCTTTTTTTTTTTTTTAAATTAATTAATTTATTTAGGTTGTGTTGGGTCTTCATTTCTGTGTGAGGGCTTTCCCCAGCTGCGGTGAGCGGGGGCCACTCTTCATCACGGTGCGCGGGCCTCTCACTATCGCGGCCTCTCTTGTTGCGGAGCACAGGCTCCAGACGCACAGGCTCAGTACTTGTGGCTCACGGGCTCAGTACTTGTGGCTCACGGGCCCAGTTGCTTCACGGCATGTGGGATCTTCCCAGACCAGGGCCTGAACCCGTGTCCCCTGCATTGGCAGGCAGATTCTCAACCACTGCGCCACCAGGGAAGCCCCTAGTAGGTCCTTTTGGTTATCCATTCTTTTTTGTTTTTTGAAGAACTTTTTGTTTCAATTAATCAATTTATTTATTTTTGGCTGCACTGGGCCTGTGCTGCTGCATGCGGGCTTTCTCTAGTTGCATTGAGTGGGGGCTACTGTTCATTGCGGTGTGAGGGCTTCTCATTGTCGTGGCTTTGGCTTCTCTTGTTGCAGAGCATGGGCTCTTCAGTAGTTGAAGCATGCAGGCTCAGTAGTTGTGGCTCGCGGGCTCTAGAGTGCAGGCTCAGTAGTTGTGGCGCACGGGCTGAGTTGCTCTGTGGCATGTGGGATCTTCCTGGACCAGGGCTCGAACCCGTGTCCCCTGCATTGTCAGGTGGATTCTTAACCACTGTGCCACCAGGGAGGCCTGGTTATCCATTTTAAATCTAGCAATGTGTACATGTCAGCCCCAAACTCCCTAACTATCCCTCCCCCACATACACACACACCCTTCTCCCCTGGTAACCGTAAGTTAGTTCTCTAAGTCTGTGAGTCAATAGCAGTTCATTTAAAAATGGGTTGCCAGGGACTTCCCTGGTGGCATAGTGGATAAGACTCTATGCTCCAAATGCAGGGGGGCCGGGTTCGATCCCTGGTCAGGGAACTAGATCCCACATGCATGACACAACTAAGAGTTCACATGCCACAACCAAGGAGCCTGCAAGCCACAACTAAGGAGCCCGCCTGCCACAACTAAGACCCGGCGCAACCAAATAAATACATAAATTTTTTAAAAACCACAAGATAAAAATGGGTTTCCAGAAAGCCTCTCAGGGGGATACATAGCTTTTAAACAGGATATTTGAGATCTGGGCTCGGATTGGGGGAGACAAGCATCTTTTAAAGGTAAAACTGTTCAGGAATGGCAAAACGATTTTTCAGGGGCCCATTCCCTACCTCGCATTAGCATAGCCCTTTGAGAGGAAGAGACCAGGCAGCAGTTCCACTTGGCAGCTGCTGTCTCTGAGTTCTGGGGGAAAAAAAAGGTCAGGGTTGACTGGGTACTTCTTCTTGAGAATTCTGGGCACTGGAGAGGGAAATACAGAAGAATGCAGTTCCTTCTCATAAAACTTGCACTTGGGGAGATCAGACATTCCCTCAAAAGGACTTCAAGATTTACGCAAGTGGGAGTTAGCCTAGTACAAAGAAAACTGGGTACCAGTCTATTATCCTTAGGGAAAAAGAAGGTAAAAGTTAACTAAGTTAATGAAAGACTAACCAACCCATTCCTTCAAACACTGCCTATTATCTCTTCTCCTTCCTGTTTTATCTACCTTCTTGTATTAAAACTTTTGAAAGTTTAATAAGTGTATCGTTGGACAAGATATCTCTCCAGGTTCCCATAGAATGATAGGTTAAATGATAGGTTATAGTTATTTATGCTTTTTGGCACATAACTCACAGGGTGTTGTGAGTTTTCTTCATTTGTTAAATTTGTTACTGCTGCACCTTATGCTGTTTGGCCTTAACTTTGGTCAGCTAATTTTAGAGATGAACTGTTTAGGACACTTTGAAAAATCATGTCTTTTTTTTTTTTTTTCTTTTCCAGTACGCGGGCCTCTTACTGTTGTGGCCTCTCCCGTTGCGGAGCACAGGCTCCGGACGCGCAGGCTCAGCGGCCATGGCTCACGGGCCCAGCCGCTCCGCGGCATGTGGGATCTTCCCAGACCGGGGCATGAACCCTTGTCCCCTGCATCAGCAGGCGGACTCTCAACTACTGCACCACCAGGGAAGCCCCTTCTGCAAGTCTTTATTATGCACCTACTGTGTGCCAGACACTATTCTAGCAGTGAGCAAGGCCAAGTGTGAGTTCATGTGAAACAATGGGAAGCAGACAATAAACATGGTTGAAAATAAAATAGTACAGAGGGCTAACAATAAATAATATACAAATACACGTACAAGATAATTAAAGATTGTGACAATCATCATGAAGCAACAAACAGGTGATGAGGTGAAGGAGGAATGACAGAGGACACTTTATTTATTATTATTATTATTTTGGCAGTTTGCAGGATCTTAGTTCCCCAACCAGGGGTTGAACCCGGGCCCTCGGCAGTGAAAGCGCAGACTAACCACTGAACTACCAGGGAATTCCCAGAGGCCACTTTAAGTAGGGTGGTCAGGGAAGACTTCTCTCAGGAGGTGGCATCTGAGCTAAGAAAACCAGGAGAGTGGATGTTCTAGAAGCCAAGAAAGGAGGGTGATTCAAGGAAGGAATGGATTTGTCCACTGGACAAACTGTCCACTGGATTTGACAATTCTGTAAGAGCAGTTCCAGCGGCATGGTGGAAGTAGGAGGTGGCTGAGAGGGAACTGGAGGTGAAGAAGTGTAGATCATCTTTGAAAGACATTTGGCTATGGAACGGAGGATAGAAGTGAAGCCAGCCGAGTAGAGGTAACATCAGTGCCTCAAATCTTGATTGGTCCAGACCAGCACTGTCTCAGTTGCCTGATTGTCCTAGCAGGGCTGGTGGGCAGAGAATAAAGGGGCTCCACTGCCTTTCCTGGGCTTCATGGTTTTTGCTTACTATTTCCTTAACGTAATTGCATTGTTCTCTGCTCCCTTGTGGTGTCAGACATGTTCCCCTGCTGTCTCTCTGTCTGAAATGTTCTGTAGATTAGTTCCTGGATGCCCTGTTACAGTGCTGCCACCTTGGAGCAGGGGTTGGAAAGGCTGTGAGGGCTATTCTCATTCTCTGTCACAAGGTGGCAGAAGAGCTCACTCTTCCCAAAAGAGACCTTGTGCTCGTACAAAATGAAGCAGAAGTTTTCTTTTACCCACTCTCAGACCCTTCCCAAAAGTCAGCCTGCAGGTTGGAGCAGCCATACTGTGGGGTACAGAGAAGTGGGAGAGCTTCATTAACGAGTCAAAGTATCCAGTAGTAGAAAAAACAGACCCAGAACTGTTTCTCTACTACTAGACATTTTTTTCTTTCCTATTACAGACATTTTGACTGGTTTTCTAAGTGTTTGCAGTCTGTGGAGGAGAGGATTTCTCTCCTGATCTCATTTCCCCACAACAAAAATTTCAAATTTAGGAGGAAAAAAAGCTATAACATAGGTGAGTTTTATGTTGCGTGCAGGTGAGAGATGTAACTCTGGAAGATAGTAGGAAACAGGGTGGGTCTGTGGGAGGAGTACTTAGGCTCTGTAATTGACTGAATCACTTTGAGGAAGTCACTTACCTTCTCTGGCCTCTGTTTCAGTTCCTTTAATGAAATGGTTGGACAGGATGGTTTCGGAGGCCTCTTCCAGCTCTAAAATTATCATCTCAATGCCACACTCTGCTACTCTGTCTTTTAAGGGTGTATGTTTTTTATTTGTTTGTTTGGGTTTATTTTAAATTCTTTTATTGTGGAATATAGCATACATATAGAAGAGTATATAGGACATAAGCATATTTGTAATAATAGTAATAATGTGAACATTATGTAAGCATCACCCAAAGAAATTGAACATTGCCAGTAGCTAAGAAGCTCCTTGTATGTCTGTCCCTCTGGTCACACTCCTTTCCCTTCTCCCAGTCATTATTTTCCCATGCTTTTTAAAAGTAGTGAACAGTCGGGGCTTCCCTCATGGCGTAGTGGTTAAGAATCCGTTTGCCAATGCAGGGGACTCAGGTTCAAGTCCTGGCTGCGAAGCAACTAAGCCCGTGTGCCACAACTACTCTAGACCCCGTGAGCCTCAACTACTGAGCCCACGCACCACGACTACTGAAGCCCGCGTCCCTAGAGCCCGTGCTCCACAACAAGAGAAGCCACTGCAACGAGAAGCCCGCGCACCGCAACGAAGCGTAGCCCCCGCTCGCCGCGACTAGAGAAAGCCCACATGCAGCAACGAAGACCCAACATAGCCAAAAAAAAAAATAATAAATAAATAAATTTATAAAAATAGTGAACTATCTACATATGTATCACTAAAAATACTTAAAATTTTTTTACCTGTTCTTGCACTTACATAAATGGATAGATCATACCCTATGTTTTTTAAAGTAAACTTTTTATTATGTATAACACAAAGTGAATACACCTCTCTTTATGTTGTCTCCCAGTCACTACCCACCATCAGGAGTAACCATTATCCAGATTTTTTACCACCACAGATGAGTTTTGCCTATTTTTGAACTACGTAGAACGGGAAACATACTCTTTTGTGTCTGACTTTCTTTGCTCAACATTATGTCTGTAAAACTCATCCATATTGTTTCGTGTACCAATAATGTGTTCATTCTCATTGCTTTATAATATTTCACTGTATGAATGTACCATAACTTATTTATCTGTTGTACTGCTGAGAGACATTGGGTTGCTTCCAGTTTGGGGCCATAAGGAACAGTGTTCCTGGGCACATTTGAAAGTTTCTCCAGAGTATAAACCCAGAAATGGACACTGGGTTATAACATATGCAGGGTTCAGCCTCACTAATTAATGCCAACCTGTTTTCTAAGATGTTGTCCCCATTTACTCTCCCATCTGCAGTATATGAAAGTTCCTGTTGTCCCAAAGGGGCCAAATTGCCTTTTCAGTGTGGTACAACCGTGGGACCTAGCAGGGCCAGGCATACCCTCACAGTGCCAACCCTTTGATTGATGCTTCAGCCAGAGCCAGTTCTCCTGTTTACTTGCTCCCTACAAGTAAGGGTAAAGGATTCAGATTAACCCTAGGTCCCTGATCACATGCTCTGTTACCCTGGGAATATTGGCCTGGGGTAGTGAATTTAATAACATAATCATTCCTGAATTCATTGAGCGTCCATAGGATATTTTGTTCTTAACTGAACACTAGTGGAAATGGAGAGGGGCCCAGAGAGAAAGGGGAAAGTAATATTTTCAGCATGCCTACTATGTTCCAAGTTTTGTATTAGAAACTTTACATTTTGGTTATAACATTTAATCCAAAACACAACCTTACAAGGTATGTGTTCTACCTCAGTTTTATAGACAAGGAAACTGAGGCTCAGAAAGGAGGTCATTTGCTCAAAGTCCCGGAGCTGATTAGTGACAGAGTCAGGATTTAAAGCCTGGTTTACTTGATTAAAGAACTCAGCTCTTTACAGTGCAGAACACAGAGAAGGCTGTGTCCGTGCTGCTCCTTTGGCTAAGATTGCCAATACCAAGAACCAGTTCTTCTCAGGTCTGCTTGCTTGTATTCACTCCCAGAACTATGCTAGTCAATTGATATGGCCATCTCATTCATTGATTTAAACTACATTTTATTTTCATTCATTTTGGTTTCCTTTATCCTCTTTCTTCCTTTTTGGGTTTTTTTTTTTTTTTTTTTGCGGTACGCGGGCCTCTCACTGTTGTGGCCTCTCCCGTTGCGGAGCACAGGGTCCAGACGCGCAGGCTCAGTGGCCATGGCTCACGGGCCTAGCCGCTCTGCGGCACGTGGGATCCTCCCGGACCGGGGCACGAACCCGTGTCCCCTGCATCGGCAGGCAGACTCAACCACTGTGCCACCAGGGAAGACCCCTTTTCGTTTTCATTAAGAAATTTGGGCACATCAGCGCAGTAGTTCCACTGATAGACAAGACTTGTGTTGCTCGTTCTACTTGCTGGTCTAGTATGTTAACCAGAGGTGAGATTTAAAAAGACAGGGATGGGGCTTCCCTGGTGGCGCAGTGATTAAGAGTCCATCTTCCAATGCGGGGGACATGGGTTTGAGCCCTCGTCCGGGAGGATCCCACATGCCGCGGAGCAGCTAAGCCCGTGGGCCACAAGTACTGAGCCTGTGAGCCACAACTACTGAGCCCACATGCCACAACTGCTGAGGCCCACACGCCTGGAACCTGTGCTCTGTAGCGGGAGAGGCCACCGTGGTGAGAGACCCGTGCACCGTGGCGAGGAGTGGCCCCCACTCGCCGCAACTGGAGGGAGCCCGTGCACAGAAATGAAGACCCAATGCAGCCAAGAATAAAAACAAATACATAAATTTATTTTAAAAAATAATAAAAATAAAAAGACAGGATGGGGTCTTCCTTGGCGGTCCAGTAGTTAAGACTCTGCAATCCCTGGTTGGGGAGCTAAGATCCCCCATGCTGTGCAGCCAAAAATAAATAAATAATAAATAATATAAAAACCTGTCTTTAAAAAAAAAAAGACACTGAAATTTTCTGGCACAAGTTATGATACAGGGAAACTTTAAGACTGAAGGGATGAAAAGGATAAAAGGAAGTTGAGCAATGGCTCAGTTTTCCTTTAAAGGCTCTACAAAAATTATTAGTGTATTTTATTATTTACTGTGTTTCATATATAATAATAGTAGTGGAGGGTGAAGGTGTTTGTTTGCGGTAGACAGGTGAGAAAGGAGGAGGAGAGGTAGCAGGAGAAATGCAGCAGGAGAAAGCTGGGTCGGACACGGGAGAAATGGAGACGCTGGGGAAGCTGAAGAGAAGGTGAGGCAGGAGCAGGGAGTAAACTCACCGGGAGCGCTCTCACGGGCCTGCAGGAGAGTGAGGTCAGAGATGAGAAGGTTTAAAGCTGATCAATATAAAGTGTTAGGGGCTTCCCCGGTGGCGCAGTGGTTGAGAGTCCGCCTGCCGATGCTGGGGGATGCGGGTTGGTGCCCCGGTCCGGGTTGGTGCCCCGGTCCGGGAGGATCCCACGTGCCGTGGAGCGGCTGGGCCCGTGAGCCATAGCCGCTGAGCCTGCGCGTCCGGAGCCTGTGCTCCGCAACGGGAGAAGCCATGGAAGTGAGAGGCTCGCGTACCGTAAAAAAAAAAAAAAAAGTTAGAATCCCAGGATCGGGCAAGACCTCAACAAGTTATTTTCCCGGCCTTCAGATAAAGGTCCCCTTATACTTTCTTTAGGTATTTAGTTATGAAGTGTATAGGACTTAGAAAGGGCTTTTTAAAAAAAAAAAAAGATGCTGGAGGTGTCATGTAAGAGGCAGCCAGGCTTTGGTGACTGCCAATTATGGATAGCACAGATAGGGACTGTAAGTGTCTGGGATTGGATAATAAGGAGGGAGGGAGAGCTGATATGCCTTGTGAAAACACAAGTGTCCATGTGAAAACATCGTGGGGAGTCTCCACTGGGAACACTGTCCTTCGTTGTGTAATCTTACCTTTCATCATCAGGACCAGACTTACAAGGTGGCCTTCCTGAGGACATTTTCTGACCTTATGGTGTGAAGTTCCCTCAGGCTTTTAACCCTGGACAAACCTGAACGGTTGACTAGAGCAAAGGAACATAGTGTTCTGATAAGGCCTTAGTGTCTTCTTTTTCTTCTGTCTCACAACTGGAGCCTCAATTCTGCTCAAGGCACTGACTTTCTTGATGAAGTCTGTCCATCTGTAAAGCAGCTAAGTATCCTAATGGAGGTTTTGCCTCCCAGAAGTGACCTGAAGACGGACAAGCAGACATCAGGAGCAGAGTGGCCTCTCAGGTACAGAGCCAGCCTTTATTTTAGTCAATGAAGCCCGTATGAATATCTCTACCTAGCTATGGAGGGGGAGTACCAAACTGTAAGACATGCTCTCTGCCTTTAAGATTAAAATTCAGCTGGAGAGCTAAAACCAACATAGACACAAAAAATTTTAGCCTAATGCTGAACCACGTGGTGGTGACCAGATTGCTAGAGGAGTTCAGAGGAAGGATAAATCAGTAGGAGCTGGACATGTAAAAGAGATCTTCTTAGAGAAAATGGGCTCCTAAGGACTAGAAAAATTCAGAAAATTAGGAAGGGGGAAGGATAAGTTTGCCAGCATAAGCAAAGGTAAAAGTAAGCATGGCAAGAGCTGGAAGCCGGATAAGAGTATATGTTCTATATTGGGGACCAGTGGGAAATAACATCACAGTGTATCCCCTATCCTCTGTCCTAAAGGTCCATCACTGACATTGCCACTTAAGGAATTTGGAACCATGGCCAGAGAGCCACCAGGACAGGATGCTCTTCATGGGTCCATTTTCTATTCGGGCACTTTCTTTCCTCCTTTGGTTCAACTTTGGCCTGACCTGACAGACTTTCCTGTCCAGGAAGTACAGGTGTGTAGGACACATTGCTGTTTATCAGAGACATGTGGTAGCAAAGAGGGGGACAATAATGATAAATCCTAAACTGTTGTTCTTAACTCCAGGGTGAATAATTACTGCTTTAAAAAAAAGTCTACAGTGGGGCTGGGAGTCTGTATTTTTAACAAGCACCTACTGATTCTGTTTCAAGATGGTCTGTGGAACATACTTTGAGAAACACTACCATAAACTAAAGTAGAATTGACAATGAAGTGCTAAAATGTCCCAGACAATGACACACATACTGTTATGTATTTCTGGGCTTACTCAGATTTGAGAATTTATTCTCTATCTATGGCTCTTATAAAACTTACATGGTTATCATTTAAGGAGTAAGATCTAGACGCTCTGTTTTGGTGTTTAGTTTTGTCTTCCCAACTAGATTGGGATCATCTTAAAGACAGGGATGCCCTCAGGCCTTTCTTATTTTCCCTGTAGTAGGGTGAGAGACCATCATTTTTTTTAAAATTAATTAATTAATTTATTTCGGGTGTGCCAGGTCTTAGTTGCGGCATGCGGGATCTTTTAGTTGTGGCATGCAGACTCTTAGTTGTGGCATGCATGTGGGATCTTGTTCCCCGACCAGGGATAGAACCTGGGCCCCCTGCATTGGGAATGCCGAGTCTTACCCACTGGACCACCAGGGAAGTCCCGAGAGACCATCTTTAAGGTTGGAAAGTAGCTAGAATTCTTAGGAAAAAATCCCTGATAACTTTATCTAACCTTCTTGAAAAACCTGAAGGCCATTTGATATTTGGGAACTTTTATTAGTTTTCTAGGGCTGCCGTAATAGAGTATTACAGACTGGATGGCTTAAACAATAGAAGTTAATTTCTTCACAATTCTAGAGGCTGTAAGTCCAAGATTGTGTCAGCAGAGTTGGTTTCTTCTCAGGCTTCTCTCTTTGGCTTGTAGATGGCCATCTTCTCCAGCAAAACAGCCACATTGTGGTAAGTGCTTCATCAACTGTGATTCACAGATGGTCTTCCCTGTATGTGTGTCTGTGCCCTAATCTCCTCTTCTTATAAGGACACTAGTCATTTGGAATTAGGGCCCACCTAATGACCTCATTTTAATTCAATTTCCTCTTTAAAGAAAGAGCCTATCTCCAAATATACTCACATTCTGAGGTGCTGGGGGTTGGGACTTGGACATAGAAATTTTAGAACACAATTCAGCCTAGAACACAATTCAGCCCATTACAGCCTCTAGTTTCAGCATCTCGAAATGTGCCACTCACTCCCTTCTGT